ATGTCTCTATGTTTATATGTATTTACTTGGCAAACACATACAATGTTATTAATATTTTTAGTAGCGCAACTGCTGCTGACGACGCTTTCTTCCATCACGTGCTCATATGCTGTGTTCCAGCAGCTTCCGTTAGCACGCGCTCTCTCACTCTGTCTCTCTCTCTCTCCCTTTCATTAATTTTCGGTTCTGCTGTTACATATGTACTCCGCTGAAGTTGGGCGCGCTGATTGCCTTCAATGTCTCCTCTCTCGCTCTCTCCATTGCTTTGTTTCTGTTTCATTATTCATTTTTATACTCTCATGTGTGTGAGCCAATGTGTCTGTGTGTGCAACTGCTTAATATGTTTATTTGCATTTGCTGAGAACATTTCAAAGCAAAATTATTCGCTGATATCTGTGCGTACATTGAACTCTAAGTCCACTGTCATTAGCTGCTTGTGACGTCACTAACAGTCGCAAAATTGTTTTCGTTACGTTTTCTTTTCGCATGTGATCTTATTGCCGTTTCTGCTGTCGTTAAAATGATTCACTTCAGTTTTGTATTTTTTATTGCTTTTTTTTGGTTTGTTTTGGCTGTCAATCAGTAGCAGGAATGTCTCTCTTTCGCTCACTCTCCCTTTCACTCCCAATTAAATGTTCATATAATCTCTCTCATGTAGCTTAAAGTTAGTAAAAGTCAACTACGAAATGTTGACAATGTCAGATAAAAATAGAACGACAAATTGTCCATTTTTGTGCTACCCTTTTAAATACCTTAATAGTATCATGAGCTTTATCGCACACTTATAAATGAGTACAGACGATAGCTACGTAGTGAACTGTATTGCGTTACTTATCATATCATATGAAAAATAATATTATATATGTATGTAACTTAGCTATGGTGTCAAATACGAATTTGTGTGTATTAAAGGGTATATATAGCTGACTATAGAGCAGCTGTCTGTTGCTCGGCTCTCACATTTTTATCATTGTTTGAGGTTGCCTTCATCAAAGTCGCTAGTAAATATATTTAATGAACTAGCTAATGCACTTCAAGCATTTCACGCGTACAATTTTATGGCTTGTTTAATCTAAAAGCTTCAACAAATATGTACACAAATGATTCCAGGCGCTGGCAAATACAATATATATTCTTTGTTTACAAATGGGCTATTAGTTCAGAATAATCGTAATGGTTTTTTGTTTGTGTGGCAAAGACTTTAAAAAACTGTCGCACCACAATCAATGCGCTTAGAGTATATAGAATATATGTCTTAATAATATATTGCCAAACAATCGGTAATGCTCTCTACGATTTCATCTTCCCAAGCTGAGCTCGATTAATGTATGAGAAACCTCAGGTGAACCAATAAATAAAGCAAATATATAAATGAATACATTTAAACATAAATGTATTCCAATGTATTCTCAAAACTAGGAAATCCATGCCGCAAACTTCATTGCTTCTCGCCCTATATCAAATCGAGCTAGCTAAAATTTTTCAGATGAGCCCGAAAGTCGAGCTAAACACATACAATCGAGAAACATAAACCCAGTTTGGTGTAAACAAGTCAAAAATAAAAAACACAACATATTCACTAAAGAACATTGAAAACATGTCATCCGGTTCATCAGACATCGATCCCGTTGAGTTGGACCAACCGCAGGTGCCACCCGTGGACAATTCCTCCAACGAGGAGCCTCAACCGGGCGTACAACGTCGAGGACGTGACGGACCCGTATACGTGCGTTCCCAGATTCAGACGGCGCGTCGCAATGCCCAGCAGATATATGATCGTCGTCCCCCGAATACACGGAACCGTTCGAGTAGCCAGCAAACGGAGTCGACATCACGGCCCAGGGGCATACAGTTGGCCGGACAAAACGGAGATGTCACTATTCTGCTGCGGCTGCTGTCGCAGAGTCCCGGCCAGCGGGAGCCGGAGGTGTGCACCACAATACGCATGACCATAGACGTGCCGGAGACTCCCTTGCCCATGATGAGTTCACAGACTATACATCCCTTGAATGCGACCATTTTCAGAATTCCGGCATCTGCAGGTCAGTCTCGGAGGCATCGTCGTCATCGGTCCCGACCAGCCCCAGAACCTTACCGACAACCACCGTCTGAACAAGGTTCACAGACAGGGACAGCACCACCGTCTGAACTAGGTTCACACCCAGGGGCAGCACCACCGTCTGAACTAGGTTCACAGACAGGGGCAGCACCACCGTCTGAACTAGGTTCGCGGGCAGGGACAGCACCACCGTCTGAACTAGGTTCACAACCAGGGGCAGCACCACCGTCTGAACTAGGCTCGCGGGCAGAGACAGAACCACCATCAGAGCCTGAGCTGGAGCTACCAGTGCAGGAGCCTGTAACTCCGGCTGATCCACAGCCTCAGCTAAGTCGTCGACCTTCATTGCAGTCCCAGTCCGGGGCGCAAGAACTAGACCCTAATCCCTTAAACCCCAATCCTAAGAACCCTTCTTCAAAATAAAGCGCGTAGTGCAGTGAATGACTTAAATGTTTCATAAAAAATTGACTAATGTTTGAAAATAAATAATAAAAACTTATGCGGTTTAGTTGCAATTGGAATCGCGAGAACTTGAGATAAACGAAAAGATCATCATAAATATATTGTGTTCATGCAAAGTTCGACAGTCAAGTAATGGAAAAATTACTCATTTAATGCTGATATACCATTCAAATATCCATAAGTGCATACATAAATATATATATGTACATAAAATATATCGGTTTTCTTTATAATCCGATTTCTGGAGAAATATAATGCAGCAGAAATCTGCATATAAAGAACTTTTTTCCTCTATGGGATTATAAAACGGGTTGTTGACTGGACATTTTCATTCCCAGTTTCTCTCTCTCTCACTCTTTCTCTCTTACTATGTATGTCTTTCAAGACTTTATTTTGGATTCTCAAATGCCTGCATGTTCTTGCATGCATATATTCTCTTTGTCTGCCTTTATGAATATACAAAACACCCAAATAAGAAACATAAGAGCTTTGCCACGCCTTCAATTTGAACCAGCGCCTCTTATTGAGCGTGCGTGCCTGCCATTCGTTTGGGCCCCGAGCAGGCAAAATGACGCTAACGATGGCAGCACAGCTTATACGGCCGTCTTGTGGGGGTATGGGGGTGATGTGGGCACTACAACTGGTCATTGGCCCATTTTCTTGTGAGCCGCGACAGCCGTGAAAATGTAAACAAAATGCGCGTAATTAAAATTTCATACGCGATGAAAAAGGACAAGGAAATATTAAGCATAAATAATTGATAGGCAGCTTGGGTGTGCCCATTTGCATGCCATAAACACATAGACATACACACAGATATATGCATATATATACATGTATATAAGTGTGTTTTTTCCCTACATATATCTGGATTTATATATCTAATACTCTTTGTTAGCTGTTGACAATTTTTAATTGGCAATTTGCGCCAACGTTTGCCCGTCAATCAAGCTGAAAGCTCTTGCTGACTGAGCTCCTTTTTGCTCTCACCCAAGCGCTGTCTCACTCACTCTCGGTGTCGCTATCTCTGTTCCCTTATCTTCCAGCCATCTTGGGCGCTCATTGAATATAGTTTCAAGTGGTTCCAAGATGGTTTTTGCTGCTGATGAATGCTCCTGACAGCTGATGGATAGCTGCTGCTGCTGTCATGCCCTAACTGCGATATACATACATATAGAAATATGTACTTATGTATGCTTCTACTATTTACGGTTGTGGACGATAAAATAGTAGCAATACTTTAGTGTATCGGTAGTCATTAATGTAGCTTTATAAATGCTTCTATAGGGTAACTGCCAGTCAAGCTAGCTCTAAAAAATATAAATAATAATAATACAGGATATCTGCTAGTCTAGCAGAGTCAACTCTTGCCTTTTGGTTGCACTTTCTGCTTCTTATTTTCTCTTGTGCCTTATCTGCATCCTCTTGTGCAATGCGATATGGGCATGTGGCAGGAAGCTGCAGGCTGCCACATAAATGAACGCAGCTCTATGACGCACAGTTAATTACGCATGCTTGTGTGTGTGTGTGTGTGTGTGTGTGGCACAACGAAACGCTGGCAGATTGTTTCCTACATCTTTAACAAATTTGCGGGCTATGCAACCTATTGCGCCCACACAACTGCAGATGCAGCTACAGATACGACGAGCAAAAGATACAGATACAGATACAGATACACATACATAGTCACAGCTACAGCTACAGCTATAGATATAGATACAAATGCGAGTAGTTGACACATCCGACTGACTGTCTGGCAGGCCGGCATTATTATTTCGCATTTGTTGTGTTTGTGTGGCAAAGCATTTAAAAAACTGTCGCACCACAATCAACACGCGACACAAATGGAGATCGAGTGGCTGAGCGTGGGGTGCGCGGCGTTGCTGTTGCATGTTGCATGTGGTAATTGCGGCTTGTTAACAAGAAGAAAACTGAGAAGTTGCAAGAAGCAACAGCAAAAAAAAAAAAAGAGTCAAATATAAGTAGCTGTTATGACACGCCCCTCTTGCTTGGAGCAGTTGTGCAACTCCTCCGGAAATGTCTCACAGATGTGGCACAAGCAGAGATTTGTTGCAGTGAGTCAATAAAAGCTTCGAGTATATACAATATATGTAAGTCTTAATAATATATTGCCAAACAATCGGTAATGCTCTCTACAATTTCATCTTCCCAAGCTGAGCTCGATTAATGTATGAGAAACCTCAGGTGAACCAATAAATAAAGCAAATATATAAATGAATACATTTAAACATAAATGTATTCCAAATAAACAAACATAAATCTATTCTCAAAACTAGGTTACCCATGCCGCAAACTTCATTGCTTCTCGCCCTATACCGATTGGAGCTAGCTAAAATTTTTCAGATGAGCTCGAAAGTTGTGCTGAACACATTCAATCGAGTAACATAAACCCATTTTGGCGTAATCAAGTCAAAAATAAAAAAAAACCACAATATATTCACTAAAAATCGTTGAAAACATGTCATCCGGCTTATCAGACAACATTCCCATTGAACTCAGATATCGGCCGGTTTCACCCGTGGACAATCTCTCCTTCGAGGAGCGTCAACAACAACAGGCCGCACAACGTCAACGACGTGACGGACCCGAATACGTGCGTTCCCAGATTCAGACGGCTCGTCGCGATGCCCAGCAGATATATGATCGTCGTCCCCCGAATACACGGAACCGTTCGAGTAGCCAGCAAACGGAGTCGACATCACGGCGCAGGCGCATTCACCTGGCCGGACAAGACGGACATGCCACTATTCTGCTGCGGCTGCTGTCACAGAGTTCCGGCCAGCGGGAGCCGGAGGTGTGCACCACAATACGCGTGACCATAGACGTGCCGGAGACTCCCTCTCCCATGATGAGTTCTCAGACTATACATTCCTTTAATGCGACCATGAGAAGTCCGGCATCTGCAGGTCAGCCTCGGGGACATCGTCGTCATCGGCCCCTACGCCCACAGCAGCAGCCATTGGAAACGCAAATGGGCGTACCAGCCCCAGAACCTAACCGACAATCACCAGAGTCGGTGGGACAAGCAAACCATACCAGTGATACCGCTACCAGCTGTAACAGTATCACTGGTATGGTTAGCCTCCCCAACGAAGGCAGCCCATACTAACGAGACATCTGATTTTGGTTGTGGGGTGGCTTTTCCCGCAGTCCAAGTGTCGGCCAGACCCACCGTCGGAGCTAGGTTCACCGCCAGGGACAGAACCACCATCAGAGCCTGAGCTGGAGCTACCACAGCCTCAAATGGGACAACAATCAGCCTCAGATTAGTCGTCATCATAGTCCCAGTCCGAGGCGCAAGAACTAGAAAAATAAATAATAAATACTTTTATGCTGTTTAATTATTTGGGTTTTTAAAATTCAGAATAGCTGTAATTGGAGTCGCTAGAACTTCAGATGAAGGAAAAGATCATAATAGAGAATTCTCTCTCTCTCCCCTCTGAGTAATCTCACTCTATTACCATTTTTAGACAGAACTGGCCAGATACTTTGACAACTAACTATATTTTACGATTCGATATAATATGACGTATGAAAGATTTAATATTACATTACGATATATATAAATCCAAAAATCTACAACAATTTTAGATATGTATATATTTAGTAAACAACTTCCGTTTTTTGACCTTTTTCACTTGTTTTTCGTTTTCACGTTTTATTAGAGCTCTTCAAATGGCAATAGCCAACTAAATGCCGATAAAAACAAGCTCTCGTCTGTCTGTGTGTGCGTGTTTGTCTGGCCTTTAGTCCGCTAGGTGCTAAACACATTTCCAGCCAGAATTTATAACAATTACACTGGCATACACAGACGCACACACATACATGCACGTGTACATATCACCTGAGCAGCACATCATATGAAAATGTTATTGAGAAAAATAACATGAAAATGCTCGCACATTTGTTTGCCCTGCCATTCAAGCCAAGTGGCAGAGGCTGTCAGGCATTCAAAGCGTTTTTGGACAAGAGCCAAGTTATTTGGCCAACCTGCTGCCGCCATCGAGTGAAAGCCAAAAGCGTCGCTGCCACAGAGGGGGGGAGGCGGGCGGTGGGAGGTGGGAGGTGGGAGTGACTGGCGTTGGCCCTGCATTGTGTGTGTCTGCTGCAAATCAAAGCCTCGATAAACAATACGCGACAACAACAACGAAAACCAGCAGCAAAGTTGGCCCCAAAAACTGCAGCGATATAATCTAACCTTCGACTTGAATGAAAGCAAAAACTAAAGGAAATAAAATAGCCAACAACAAGCAGCAAACACAGTTGCCTTTTTTTTTTTTGGCGAGTGCAAAAATGCAAAAACTTGCGAAAAAAAAAACATGAAGAGTTTGAAATTCCAATGCCTGGCGACTGACGATTGGCGACTGGCGACTGGCAGGCAGCCCAGATACCCTGCACACTCCAGTCTAGTCTCGCGGCAGACTTTGAGGTCCGCTGTCCGGCCCCTTGTTTGTCGTCTTACTTGAGCCCTCACCCTTTTAGTGCTGTTATCATGCAGCCTAACGATTCGTATATGTGCATTGGAATGTGGCATGGTGATTCATGGCTACAGTGGCTTGCATTAATTTAGCAACACTTGAGTTGGCCAAACTTTGAAAGGAGGCCAATCGATTGCCAATATACTAGATATAGATGTAGATCTAGATGTAGATGTAGATGTAGATGTAGATGTAGATGTAGATGTAGATGTAGATGT